GCGGGCCGCCTGCTCTGCCGCACAGAGGCGGTGCGAAGATGAGGATGAGCTTAGACCAAGCTTTCACCAACTCGGCCGGGTCGCAAGAAACCTCCCCAGCACTCGCAGGGAAGGGAGATGACGGGACAGGCTGCCGCAGCCTTTTCCTTGGACGCCCGCCGTTTAGCGAGTGGCCGCGGACGCGCTCATCTCCTCCCCGGCTGCGTGACCTCGGCCGCTCCCAGCCTGGGGCAGAGGTCATCGTCTTAGCCGCAGGCCCAGGAGCTGGGGGCCCTTTCCGCGGAGTCACACGAAGGTCCTTTCCCGGGAGATTTAAAGGGAACACCGAGCGCTGTGGAGATGATCAGATTCCTTGAAAATGCCGCCCACAGACGACACCGACACACACACATTCTCTTCAAAGGCTTGCACGTTGCTAAGGACGGATCAGTTTGGCAACGGAAGCTATTTGCCAAGCAGAAGTCACAGGCCGTGAAATACTTGCTAACGTCTGCAGTCAGACTGCTACTGCTATCCAGATGGAGCCACAGGCGTTCCTTAGGAATGGGAATGTTTGCCTATCCGTAAAAATTTTGACGTCAATGTGATCTATCTTTAAATACCCTGACTGGAATCTACAAAAGTGAGATCTCTCGGACTTCCTCAGGCTACAACTTTGGTTTTCCAGCGGCCACACATACCAAAGTGTCTGTTCTATTTAAGGCTTAAAAACTGCTTATGAAGCCTCTGTTATTTAAAAGGTTGTTTTTCGTAAGTATGACTCTTTTTTGGTACTGGGCCTTGAACTCAGAACCTTGTACTTGCCAGGCAGACACTTGTACCACTCAGCTATATTCCCAGCCCCATAAGTATGATTTACATTCCACATACACAACCCGTAAGGTGAGTACAACACATCTCTAACCTGGTCATGGAAATTCTCTCATTTGTGCCATGAAAGTTACGGATGTCATTGACCAGTAGAAATAAAAGTGGGCTTAATGTAGATGCTTATTAAATTTTATTTTAAGCAAGAGTCCCAACAATTATTACCAGCAAGAGAACTAGAGTGTATAGAAATGGGAATTATTATTTAACAAAAGTTTAAATTTTTTTTTTTTAACAAGCAACTAGTATGATAACAAACGAAGGTCCACTGATGGTTATAAAAATATCCCTGGTTCTCAGAGTGGAAAGCTGCTACACAGGAAACCTTGATTAAACACAGATTTCAGGCTGAGTGATAGAGGCTCAGTGGTAGGGCCCG